GAATAAAGGAATTAGGAAGGAAGGAAGGAACTAGGAAGGAATAAAGGATGGAACTAGGAAGGAATAAAGGATGGAACTAGGAAGGAATAAAGGATGGAACTAGGAAGTTAGGAAGGAACTAGAAGGAAGAAAGGAACAGGGAATGAAGGAACTAGGAAGGAATGAACTAGTACGGAAGGAAGGGAGGAGGAAGGAAGGAACTGGGAAAGAAGGAACCAGGAAGGAAGGAACTGGGAGAGAGGCAAGGAAGGAAGGAAAGAACTAGGAAGGAATGAACTGGGAAAGAAGGAACCAGGAAGGAAGGAAGTGGGAAGGAAGGAAAGAAGGAACCGGGAAGGAAGGAAGTAAGGTAGGAAGGAACTAGTACGGAAGGAAGGAATGAGGAAGGAAGGAACTGGGTAAGAAGGAACCAGGAACAAAGGAACTGGGAAGGAAGGAAGGAACTGGGAAGGAATGAAGGAAGGAAGGAACAAACTTTTATTGAAAATAATGCTTGAAACAATGTAATGTCATGTGTTGCATTTTTCTTCTTCTGGCTGATATCACTTCTCTTCCTCCATCTACATGATAAAAATGACCGAATGATGGAAAATATTTCCCAGGTCTCAGTTTAAACAAAAAGAAAAAAATGATTAACAAATCAAAGGAAACATTAAATGCTTTGCAAATGGAGGGAGTAGATGTGCATTACCTGATCTCAAACTTAATGCGGCAATGAATCAGCGAACATTAGAACGTATGGTTCGATACAGATACAACTAAAACACGCTAGTATTGATTGATCTATCTACTAAGAACTCAGGAAGATCCGTGCAACAGAAACAGGGAGAAGTAGAATGTCTACTCATCAGTGACGGGTTACTGATGACCTATACCTTGATTAAAAATGTTCCCTTCTTTTTGTTTCATGGTTTTGGACATTTACCATTATGATTTGAAAAAAAACAGCAAACAAAGTTTGTTAATTTTTAAAGTGAGGAAGGAAGAAAAGAGGTGATTGAAGAAAAGAGGAGGAAGGTGTAGCATCGCCATCGTCAGCAGGACGGCGAGCTGGTGCATTAAATGAGCAATAGAAACATGGCTGCAGTTTTGCCTCTTTGATGGTGCCTGCATGTCTCTTTAGCAGGAACGTTTGCTCGCTCTGCACTCACCAGCTTGTCGGTGTGAGACGATTTGCTCTAACAGAGCGATTTCTGTGAGAAACTGATGGCTGAGCTCTGCTTGTTGTTGTGTAGATGTGTCCGGCGGTGCCGCTCAGCTCTTTGGGGACAGACGGAGTGTGCGAACGCCTCAAGCAGATCGACGGCATGGACCCCAACATGTTGCCTCAGTACGCAGCAACAATCGCAAAGGTACGATTTAAAAAAAATGGGTCCTCTTTGTGCTTTTTGAACATATTCTTTCTCTGTGTTCATTCATTGAAACCATGTGTGTTGCAGGCTAACATAAATGGACGCGTGCTAACTCACTGCAACCTGGACGAGCTGAAGAAAGAGATGGAGATGAACTTTGGTGACTGGCAACTTTTCAGAGGAATGGTGAGACGAGATTTCTCTAAACTTTGAACTGAAGCACAGACTAACTTCGATAATGAAAACGTTCTCCAGCGTTTTAAAAGCCAAGGAGGCGATTGGCTCTCTGTGTCACACAGAGTCCATGTTGGAACGTCAGTCCTTTAGTGTAGGAATGAGCACATTAACTCCTCACTGAAGGAGGCAGCATCATGCTGTGGGGATGCTTTCCTGTTAGAGTTGATGGGTGAAGCTAAATTCAGGAAAAAAAACATGGTGGAGTCAGCAGAGGGCCTGAGACTGGGGTGGCCCTGATCATCCAGCCAGAGATGCAAAGGATGGTTTAGATCAGAGGATATCAATGCGTCAGAATGGCCTAGTCAAAGTTACAACTAAAAGCATTGCAGGGAATGAGTAGCAATGACTTCCCTCCATCCAGTCTGACTGATTTAATACGGTTCAGGTGTGAGAGGCTGGATTAAGCCGCTGCTAGAACCACAGCGAAGGGAGGTTCTAGAAAGTTCTGACTTTATGGGAACGATTAATACTTCTTTAGAATCATTATTTAATAAAAAAAATAATTAAAACATGTTACACTGCAAAAACTGATCTAAAAATTCATACATTTTTGTTTATTTGATTATATTATTTTATAACTTGCGCCTGAAATCAATTAACAGAGTTTATTATAGAAGGAAGCCATCTATGTTAAGAAAGAAAAAACAACTTTAAACAGAGGGTGGGGGGCGCTCAGATTTCAGCTTTCAAAAACCTACAATGCAGCGATAGAGTTGATCCCTTCATGCTATCATTGCAGCCTGAACCCCTGTACAGGAGAGGGGAGGACCTCGCCTATTCAGCCAGGACAACAATTCCCTTTAACAACCCCCCTTTCAGAGACATAGACGGGTATGGGGCATTGCAGGCTAACAAAGAAGCCAAACGACCCCCATTCCAAAAGGGTGGACCCGTTCGTCCGTTTCAAATCATATGTTTTCTAAACAAAAACAAGGATTTGTTGGGCTGCTGTATAAAACCAGGAACTCAAAGCTATTCCTGACATTTTGAATTGAAAAACCTTCCTGGATGGGAAGCGAAATGTCTTTAAACTTGGAAACAAAGTCCAGTTGATTGTTTTTAATTTCCGTTTTTGTACATAATGGAACATTGTTAAACTTAAATGATCCTATTCTATCAGCACATAATCTGAATTATCTGCTCAGACTGAGGAGAAATAAACTTAATTTAAGAAAAATGACTTTCCTTCTATGCATTTCTTCTCCACTCTGTGTTGCTCTGTCACATAAATCCCAAATATTTAAAGTTTGTTGTTTTGTTACATCGAAGACTAAAGAAATAGAATAGCGGTGCATATTTGCGCAGTCCTATACTGAGACGTCTCAGTCTCACTGACATTTACTCAGAGCTGTTCCTCATAAACGGACCAAAGATTTTGGGATTTAATAATCCATATTAGGAGAAGATCATCCTGCAGTCCAGAAATCACAAACACATGTGTGCGACTCTGGGCTCATGTTGAGGGGCTCTCACAGAAACATCTGGAAAGCTCAGTGGACGTAGAGCAAAACAAAAAAAAACAGTGTTGTGTTGCCAGGATGCTGGAAGCGGCCATCTGGCTAAAGATGGCCGCCTGATATGAGGATGAAGGGAGGTTATTGTCGGGGAGGGAAGGACAGATGAGCAGCTCTATGAACCCGCCACTAATAAACACGTTCTTTCACTGCTCTGAGAAAACAAGCTTTTCACCTTCTAAAGGAGGCTGAGAACGTCGTCCTTAAACCAAAAGTTTTTTCTTTTCTTTCCAGGTGATGGAGCAGCGACATGCCGAAACCCAGGCGGCGCTTCAGGAGGAGTGCCGAGCAGCCAGTGAGCAAGGCAGCATCGTGCACCAGGGGGAGCCCAGCAGACGCCCGGCGGGGCCCCAGAGGGAAACGGGGGGCTTCAGCCTCAGCCTAAGTTTCGAGGAGCTCAGTGGAGCGGGGCTGGAAGAGCCTCCGAGACGCAGCACCAACTCCCAGTGGACGGTCAGTCCTCCTGACGCCTTTGGTTTCGTTTAGACCCGCTAACATAAAACCAGTTAAATGAAGAAGACAGAATCTGTTGCAATGACGATAAAGTTGGTCCCTAAATATTTCCTGCTTTCAAACACAAACATTAACTTATGTAAAGATGATTTTATATAGACCCCTAGGGGTCCACGGAGTTACNATCTTTTCCTCTGAGAAAAGCCTCCAGAGCAGTGTTTTGCTCTTCTTTCAGTGAAGAAATACTCTGTAATTCCGATAAAACTTGCTCGATAGCCACGCTAATGCTAGTTTCATCGGCTGAAGCCGCCATGTTGTTTAGACTGAACTGTCGCTGATTTGACGTTCGTTTGGTGAGAGTCTCCAGACGGATCTGCGAGTGAAACCTTGAAAGCTCGCGAGATCAGGATGGTCTCACGAGGCTACGGGTACGGGGTATTGCAAGCTAACAAAGAAGCCAAACGACCCCCATTTGAAAGGGGTGGACCCATTCATCTGTTTCAAATGATATGTTTTCTAAACAAAAACAAGGCTTTGTTGGGCTCTGCTAATGAAGATTCTCAGTCATCCAGGTCATAGTGATTCCGTAAAAGTAAAAAAAAAAAAATCCACTAGACTTGGTTTTTAAGATTTGAAGACGTTTCGCCACCTCTCCAGGAAGCTTTCTCAATTCAAATGGGCTGCTGTATAAAACCAGGAACTCAGCGCTATTCATGACATTTTGAATTGAAAAAGCTTCCTGGATGGGAAGCGAAACGTCTTTAAACCATGAAACAAAGTCCAGTGGACTGATTTTAATTTCCGTTTTTTTGTAAATAAATTTAGTTTTTTTTTTTTATTTAAATTTTAAACTTAAATGATCCTTTCTGTCATCACATAATCTGAATTATCTGCTCAGACTGAGGAGAAATAAACTTAATTTAAGAAAAATGACTTTCCTTCTATGCATTTCTTCTCCACTCTGTTGCTCTGTCACATAAATCCCAAATATTTAAAGTTTGTAGTTTTAATACATGGAAATGTAAAGAAATAGAATAGCGGTGCATATTTGAGCTGTCCTATACTGAGACGTCTCAGTCTCACTGACATTTACTCAGAGCTGTTCCTCATAAACGGACCAAAGATTTTAGGATTTAATAATCCATATTAGGAGAAGATCATCCTGCAGTCCAGAAATCACAAACACATGTGTGCGACTCTGGGCTCGTGTTGAGGGGCTCTCACAGAAACATCTGGAAAGCTCAGTGGACGTAGAGCAAAACAAAAAAAACAGTGTTGTGTTGCCAGGATGCTGGAAGCGGCCATCTGGCTAAAGATGGCCGCCTGATATGAGGATGAAGGGAGGTTATTGTCGGGGAGGGAAGGACAGATGAGCAGCTCTATGAACCCGCCACTAATAAACACGTTCTTTCACTGCTCTGAGAAAACAAGCTTTTCACCTTCTAAAGGAGGCTGAGAACGTCGTCCTTAAACCAAAAGTTTTTTCTTTTCTTTCCAGGTGATGGAGCAGCGACATGCCGAGACGCAGGCGGCGCTTCAGGAGGAGTGCCGAGCAGCCAGTGAGCAAGGCAGCATCATGCACCAGGGGGAGCCCAGCAGACGCCCGGCGGGGCCCCAGAGGGAAACGGGGGGCTTCAGCCTCAGCCTAAGTTTCGAGGAGCTCAGTGGAGCGGGGCTGGAAGAGCCTCCGAGACGCAGCACCAACTCCCAGTGGACGGTCAGTCCTCCTGACGCCTTTGGTTTCGTTTAGACCCGCTAACATAAAACCAGTTAAATGAAGAAGACAGAATCTGTTGCAATGACGATAAAGTTGGTCCCTAAATATTTCCTGCTTTCAAACACAAACATTAACTTATGTAAAGATGATTTTATATAGACCCCTAGGGGTCCACGGAGTTACAGCATGGGGGTCATGAAAGTTTTGGTTAATTAGACTTTTTTGTTTTTTTTTTATATTCCCCCCTCCAATTTTTTCCACTAATTAAAATGTCTTTAAATCCACATGAACATGAATTGAACAGACTGTAGTAAACAGATAAATGGAGGCAGAAGATGTCTTTCAGTCATCAATGCACACATTCAGCGACACACAGGAGAATAAAGGTAACTGGTGGAAGACAGAGGAGCTGCTTTAAGAAGAAGTTACATCTCTGTGAGGACCAGACATTTGGCTTGTTCGTTATCGACCAAATGCTTATTTTCAACCGTAATTGTTTTAGAAATCTTACATTTGATTTCCTGGATTTTTTTCCTTATTGTGTTTCTCATAGTCAAAGTCAACCAATCAGGAAATGACAGACCTTCCTCATCTTTCTAAGTAGGAGAACTCCAGCAATTGGCGGCTGATTAAAAACCTTTTAGTCCCGCTGTAGACCAAATGATTTGCCAGTTGAAAAAGATTATTTACATTTAAAGTAAAGCCGGGCGTACACTGTACGATTTTTTTTTCTGCCCTTTTCGGGCCGATTCTTCAGTCATGCGAGAAGTTTTCCATCGGGCCGAAGTTCAGCCTGATGGTGTGTGGTGTAGTATACAGGGAGTAACGAGGGGCGATCAGCCCCTATGATCACCTCCCCATCAGGAATCGTTAAGGTCGGGAGAAAATCAAACATGTTTGAAATTCAGTCGGCCGTCATAAGATGGTCGTCGGCAAATCGCTCAGGATTCTTCTTCTTCCTCTCAGACGAAAACAGAAGCATGGTGGGGGTGCAATGAGTGAAATGGAGTTCTTTCTGTGAAATTGACAGACCGTAGCAGCCATGTTTGCTCAGCCATGTCTTTGAACAAATACGTTGTCGCCTTTACTTTTTAGTAGCCTTGTGAGACCATCCTGATCTCACGAGCTTTCAAGGTTTCACTCGCAGATCAGTCTGGAGACTCTCCGTTGAAGAAAATTTGGAGCCGTTCACCAAACGAACGTCCAATCAGCGTTGGCTTTGAGGCGGGTTGAGGTGTGACGCAACGAGAAGCGCGACAGTTCAGTCTAAAGAACATGGCGGCTTCAGCCGATGAAACTAGCGTTAGCGTGGCTATCGAGCAAGTTTTATCGGAATTACAGAGTATTTCTTCACTGAAAGAAGAGCATAACACTGCTCTGGAGGCTTTTCTCAGAGGAAAAGATGTTTTTGCTCTTCTCCCGACTGGTTTCGGCAAGAGTAGCCTGGCTTGTGGTTGTGTTTTCGTCGTCGTCGCTCTGTTAGTACGTCATATGCTTCGTTGATCTGATTGGTTTATTTGGCCCGTCTATCACCAACATAGGCCAATCAGCTAACCAGTATTTTCGCCCCTTTCCAAAATTACTTCAACGGAAGGTTTCCAGATGGATATGCGGAGCAAATCCATCTGGCGGAGTCAGGTTAACTTTTTAGGGCTTTCAGCACAAAATTGCACAAATTGCCGAAGCAGCGCGCTTCACTCTAGTGAGCTTCATGTTCCGCTTCTACTCGTTTAGCTTCCGGATAGACGAGTCCGAGTAGCGCCATCTCACTGCGGAGCTGAGTCCCACCTGTGTGAGAACATAGATCATGACCTGTAAACTTTGAAACCCTGCGGTTTCCTCGTACAGTTTGAGCTGTAGCTGCGTGCAACCATTGAAAAAATTGCACATTGTAAGAAAATACATCTCTGTTGTCTTATTTCAAGTGCATCATATCTAATAATCTTAGGACATTCCAAAATAATTTTAGGGCAAAAAAACTAATTTAATTTAGAGATTATGTTATTTTCCTGCTTATTAAATTACTATAAAAAATTAAATTACTTATTGCTGCATACGTTTTTGCTGTATGTGGAAGACTCACCGTCTCCACAGCAACACATGAGAGTGGAAGCATCATGCTGTGGGGATGAAGCTCTGTAGAAACAGGGTAGCTGCTCAGAGGTGATGGGAAGAGCTAAATCAAGGAAACAAACCTACTGGATGCTAAACTATGAAGATGAACGGCCCTGAACATCCAGATATAATGGAGGGATTAGATAGAAGCGTGTTAGAATGGCCTAGTCAAAGGCCAGACCCTCAGTCATCACCCTCTGTGTTGGTCTGTCACCTGAAATCCAAGGAAGACCGGTAGTTTGTTGCATTTAGAACATCGCCCCTACAGGAAACCAGCATGTTTGTGACCTCAGAGGTTTCACTTCGGCGCAGCTCTGACCCTGAACGCAGCACAGCGGGAGGAAACCGACGTCGCGTTTGACAGAATTAAAAATACATATGCAGAGTGCAGCACACCTAAAGGTGTCAGGGGCCCCCGCGTTTGTTATTTTCACCCTCCCTGTTCCCAGTTTGTTAAAAAAGAACAAACACTCGCACATAGACAGCTGGCTCTGCCGCTATTTTAAAAATCTGGCTTTGTGAAATGCTTTAGATGCGATCCCAGAGCTGCAGCGGCGCTGCTCCATCTGGGTCCTGAACCAGCAATGTTTTGCTGAACTTTAGTTCTGTGTTTGCTCTGCAGTCTTTACCAACAGGAAGGTTTTTCTGTCGTTTGTCAGGTGACCAACCACCACACCTCCAGCATGTCCAGCCTCAACTCCCAGGAATCCTCCAATGACATCTGCAAGCTGACCGACAAGCAGCAGGCGGAGTATCGAGACGCCTACAGGGAGTACATCGCCCAGATGGCCCAGCTGGAGATGTCCGGCGGTGGGGGAGAAAGGCCCGTCCAGCCCCACCCGGGCCAGTTCCTCCAGGCCGCCAGCGCTGAGGACAAAGGGGTGGGTGAAATCAACAGTTATCCAATCAGAGCTAGCTTTAAAAAAAGTATTCACACCTCTAACGACTACAAACTAAGGGTTTCTGCTACATGAAGCTGATCAAAGCCAAAAAATAAAGCATCTAATGTAGTAGGCTTTATATTTACACACTTATTCTCATAATCAAAGTTTAAAATGACTCTAAATACCATGAAATGTTCAAATTTACATATTTCAAAAAGCCAACAACTCTGGCTCCTGCCTGTCTTTCTGTGAAGCTGTTAGCGTCTGAAGCTAACTGCTAGCGTCAGTCGTCTTCTCTCTGTCCAGAGTGGCCGACGTAACGAATCTTTTGCTATATTTGGTGCATTTTCAGGCCCCTTAATCTTTTTTTCCCCCAAAAAGCAATTAGAGACAAACGGCTTTTCTCTGCTTCCCTCAGCGCTGTCTCACAGGCAGCGGCCTCATCCTGAAGGCCTGCATGCAGTCAGAGCAAAGAGAGAGGCTGCGCTTCCCTACAGCTAATGTAGAACAAGCAGATGAACAAAGCTGCTGATGATTCTGCCCTGGATTACAAAGCAGGATAAAAATAAAATGATGGTGTGCAGGTGGAGCAGTGGTTAGCATGAAAGACCATTGTACGGAGTCCTTGACGCGGCCGACCGGGGTTTGAATCCGACCTGTGGTCCTTTGCCGCATGTCTCTCCCCCTCTCTCATATCCCCTTTCCTGTCCGCCTACTTTCGAAAAAACGAGACACTAAGTGCTGTAAGAATTTTATTTTAATAAAATTATAGTTTTTAGCTCTTGAATTGACATGTCCAACAAACACTTAGCCTCTAATTCAAAGCTCTAAAAGTTGGTTTCCTGCATTTCACAACAAAAACACCACAGATATAATTATTTGTAGTGTGTGTCGTTCAGTAAAGGTTGATCGCTGAGATGTCAGGGTCATAAACTGAAGAAAAGCCGTTAAAAACAAACAGTTTAATCTAAATGAATCCTTCTGCAGGTTACAACAGAGTATTATGGCCAGGCTAGAGATGTTTTATTTTTTGTATTTTGAGAATAAAGTCATAATATTAAAAGAATGAAGTCATCAAACCACAACATGTTTCAGAAAGAAAGCTTGGAGCTCCGCCCATCCAATGATGGCCGACCAGCTCCACCAATCAGCAACCAGAGTCCACTTTGACCTCCTGCTTAAACTCTAAGATGCATAAAGTCCCACCCGTCACCGTCCAATCAACTGATGGGACAAGTAGTTCTATATTAGAGTAAAGTTGCTCTTTTTCTGAAAGTTAAACCAACTCAACACGTTTCAATCAACAGACATATTACTAAATGTTGAGCTTTAATGAATAAATCTATTTCATTCATTTCAATATTCAGGTTTATGTAGGAAAAGCAGGTCAGGATTCGTTGTAGAACATTTCTTTCATGTTCTTAGCTTGGAGGGATAGCGGCCATCTTTAGTTTATGGTTGATGGTTTGATCCAAAGATCTCCCATTGGTTAGGATTTACTGATTTATTATTTTCTGTCTTCTGTTTCCCGCCTCCTCAGGCTAAGGAGGGAGCCGAGCCGGACGGCCGTAAGCCCTTCAACAAGAGGGCCTCCAAGAGCGGCGAGCTCACAGACTTCGCCTCGGGGGCCGACGCTCAGCTCCTGGATCCCATCAGCGAAGAGGATGAGAAGCTGGACCACAGCTTGTCCTCCAGGACCCCGGGCTCCAAGAAGAAAGGAGCCGGCTCCTTCTATCACCAGCTTCCCAGCGAAGAGGAGTGGGGCCCAGAGGAAGCCGACACCACCACGCCGCTCCTCCACAAAGAGGGCCGAGCCGCTCCTCCGCCTCTGCTCGCAGCCAAGCCTGGCCTCCTCACAGACATCCTCCTGGATAAGAAGGACTCCTCCGACTCAGGGATGCGCTCCAGCGACAGCTCCCCAGACGCCTCCCTGGAGGAGTCGGACGGAGGGCGGGGCCTCCTGAAGCCCAGCCTGATCGAGCTGGAGCTGGAGGGCCTGGTGAAGAAGAGGGGCCTCCTCCCCAGCAGGCTGAGCGGCCTGCAGGACGCGGCGGTGGCCCGCATGTCCATCTGCTCCGACGCGCCGTCCGAGGCCAGCCTGATGGCCAGCAGCCCGGACGAGGGGTGGCCCTCCGACGCCGTCGGCAACCTCAACCGCTCCGCCAGCAGCACCACCCTCAACAACAACTCGGGCGCCGGCGACAACACCAACTCTAACTCCAACAACAGCCGCCAGCGGCAGGAGGCGCCGTTAGACTCAGGCGTCCTCATCATCCACCCAGGAAGCACCACCTCCGCCGCCGCCCACCAGAACCAGAACCTGCGCTCCATCAGCCTGGGCGATGAGCGGGAGAGCGTTCTGTGAGGTCGGCAGGTTTCTGGGTTCTCCTCCTCTAGCAGCCGTTGGGCTCTGAGCAGGATCGTCTCCTGGTCGCTCTCCGCTCCTCTTGCTGCTTAATGTGAAATGTTTGTGTTTATTGAAGGAATGAAATCTGTTCTCAGTGATAAAACTAAGAAACTAGGTGTTGTTTTGGGAGAGTTTCCCCTCAGAGCTGCTGCATGCTGCGGTTCTGCTTGTTTGGTGTCTGTAGGAGAAAATGATGATAGACTCGCTGTTACATGTTGTGTTTGGTGAATGAATAAAACTTCTCACGGCCCCCAGGAGTCGTCTGTCGCTCGTTTGTTTTCCAAAATTTGTCTGGAAACTTCCTCAGCAGTCAGCCGCAAAATCAGGAATTTGATTTAAAGGTTTGTTTTTTAAAGTTTGAATGATATTTATTTAAAAAACGGTTTCAGTGTAAATCTGAACAATTATGGAGTGAATTTTGTTACATTGTTTTGGCAAAGAAAACATTTCATAAAATGAAATTTGAAAGAAATGCAAAGCAGAAATTAAACTTTGAAGAACTTTCTCAGATTTTTTTATATCTTTTTTTCTTCGGATCAAATTTTTGTACAAAGGGCTTTCTTTTCAAATTAAAATTTCCCAGATCTAATTCTCTTCACCTCCAGCTCAGTCCAAACGCTAACCAATGAAAATGTTTTTGCTAACGTCCAAGCAGACCAATAGAAATGGGTCAACTTATAAAACTAAATTTTGAAATAAAACTGAAAATATTAAATCTATAGGAAATAGTAAAAAGTAAACATTTTAAGCTTTTGAAATATTTTTGAGAAAATTAAAATATGACAATCAGATTTGAAAAAACAAAGTTAAAACATTTTATTAAAGTTTCATTTCTGGATTGTGTTTTTTTTTTGTTTTTGTTTTTTTAAACCAAACCTGTTCTTTTCAACAATAATGGACCAAAAGTCACTCCATAAGCAATCAGCAGACTTTAGTCCCCATCCTGTCACCCATGTTCCCATTATCTAGCACTGCTTCCCATCCATCATTGAACGCATCCACCTCTGCATGCCTCCACCTGTCCATCCTGTTTTTTCTCTCCTGCAAAAACTGAAATCTATGAATCAATTTTTCTTCAAATAATTATAACTTCCCCTGTTTTGAGCAGGTAAGTAAAGCGATTTCCCAGGAGAATAAAATTATTTACATTCAAATAAGAAAAAAACACTTTCATTTTAGTGACATAATCATAAAGATCACATTATTTTCCTGCTCAGCTTCAGGTTAAATACACTTTTAATTCCTACTTATTTTTAGATCAGGTTTTTGCAGTGTACAGAGCAGCAAAGAACGACTAATAGAAATACTTTAACCTATTTTCACTGAATATGAAAATATACAGGAGTCAAAAATGCGATTTAAAAAAAGGGCTTAAGGTCTGACTTACTGACCATAACAGACTTGGTATTAATCAGAGAAATATATGCTGAAATTTTGGTCAATTAAAATAAATTCAAATAACCTTTTTTTCTGTATAAAACGTATTAAACAGTTTCATAATGTAGCTGATGTAAGCATGTTAGACTGACTAAAATGATCTAATAAGTACAAATGTGATATTTCAGATGATCTGCAAATAAAATGCGTATTTTTGCCTTTGAAATTAGATTAGATATTAGTTTATTTTATTTCAGATTATTGTAATTTCATTGGCAAAATGTCTTAACATGCTTAAATCAAAGAAAAAAAGAAAGATGGGCTTATTTAAATTTCATTTATTACAGCATATGAACAGTTTCCTGTATGTTAGCTTGATCTCCAGCTGCTCTAGTAGACAGAAAGCAGAAAACAAGAATTCTTCTTTTCCACAAACTTCAGCTGTCTGACTTTCTGTGTTTCTTTGGTTTAAAATTAGTTTTTTATTCAGTGAAACTCCAAATGATTAATTAAATACCAGAGGCAATGCTTCATAAAACTCCAGTAGCAAGTACCCTGCAGTACAAATACGTCTTAAAGTATTGATTTTGTGTCTGAATTAAAAAGTTAAATAAATGTGACTGGTTATAAGCCGCTGTCTATTCCTGAATATGTTTTTAGTTTTGATCCGTCCATCAATCTGCTCTGAATTTTTCTCTCTTCTTTAAGCAGCTTCCATATTTTCTGCTTTGCCTTCTTCAAACTTTCAGGAGATCAGAGTTGATTTTTTTCACTCTCATCCTATCTGATGAGTCCGAAACTTGAAGATTTTATGGACTGAAACCATCAAAAAACCAGAGCAAAGGTCACTGGTCAGAACATTCAGCTTTGTGGTGAAAGGACCTGTAATCTTACAGATGAATAGAAAGAATGTTTTAAAAACTTAAAGGCCAATGAAGGAAAAGTGTCGGCTAAAAGTTAAATAGTTGTTCCTCTGTCAAGATTTTAAAAAATGTAGTAGTTACTCTGCAAAAACTGATCTAAAATAGGTAAAAACAAGGTGTGTTTGGCCTTGATTTAGGCAGGTAAAACAGATAATCTGTTATGGAATTAATATCTTATTGAAATCATCGTATTCCACTGACTTTTTTTTAATTTTCCTGATCAAATAAAGGGAAAATACACTTAAATTTGTAAGTGCAGCTTAGCTTTGGCAAAAGTGTGTTGGTTTCCACATGTGGCGGCACCTTTTTACTCGCTTCACTGATAAAAACAGGGAAAATAGCAAGATGGCGGAGAGACGAGTTTGTTTGGATTCATGGGAAGAAATCAGAACTTTTCAGCTGAAAGCTGCACGTTTAGCAGAATTATTTTATTGTTTGGTACATTTTGGTCACTTATTTCCCAATTGTTTCATGTTAGTTGGGTAGGACATAAAACAATTGTGTTAAAGTAACTAAATATGATTAAGTAAACGCCAAAAGCGGTTGCATTATTTTTTCAGTGTACATTGAAACTTTATGTTTTTCTTGCAGTTTAAATCATCTTATTGCATGAATCAGTAATTTAAAATGAAATAAAACATTTTAAACCTCTAAAGATTAATTTTTTTTCTCCTGCTTTAACATTAAATGTGGTAGAACTAATGCAGGTATGTGATGGTTGTCAAAGAAGAGTCATTTTCATTTTGGGATTTATCATTTTAAATCAAATTAAATACAGGATAATATAGATTTTTTACTTTTGTCCCAATATTAAGTTTTTATTTTTTGTCTTCTTGATGGAAATTACCTGAAGCGAACAATAACTGAACCAAAACAAGGGCTGGCTCATTCATTCCATGACTTTTGCTTTTAGAAAATTCACTAAAAATTAAATGATTTACTGTTCAAATGTGAAACATTTGACATCAGAAATCTGCAGGAAGTTAAATTTTTAATTTTAAGGTTTTAATTGTCTTCATCCTAAACGTTTTTGTGTTTTACAGATGCAGATTGCCAGGTCTAAATCTGACAGGACCGATTTTGTCCGATAGATGGCGCACTCTGCATACAAACCTGCTGCAGGCCTGCGGACACAGAGCGGTGAGAAGCAGCAGCTCAGACCAACAGAAGTGTGTTGACATTTTCCAGGTTTTCCTGTCCGCATGGAGCTGAGCTGCTCTGTTTTCAGAGGTTTGCAGGTTTTATTCCTCAGGTTAGATGGAAGCATGAGAAACACGGAGCATCATGCAGAAAAGAAAACCTCCTCTGGAACATTTAAACACTTATTATAAGGCCTGAAATCTTGCTTTAGAGAATTAAATGAAACTATTCCTCTACCTCAAACCAGCTTCCTGTAGAGCAGCTCCTCTGCAGTAAAATGGAACAATTATATTTTAATAATTCCACAGAGACAAGTTTTAAGTCTTTACTTTGACTAGACCATTCTAACATCTCTGTTCAGGATCATGTCCTGCTGGAGGGAGAGCCTCCATCCCGGTCTCCTGTTTTCTGCAGCACATTCAAAAACTTTTCATCCATTTTTAACCAATCAGCTTCCCCACAGCATGATGCTGCCACCATTTATGACGACAGAGAGTTAATCTAACCAGAGTTTCAAGTTTGCTCCTTTCAGAGACCAAATAAGAAAACATGAAGGCTCCTCCATCCTGTTTAACAGGTTAACCTCCTACACCCTAAGGGGGTATAAATAAATTTCTGCCTGACAAAAACACACAAAAGTAAATCACTTATAGCCTCACAGCTATTAGATTTAAGAAGAAACGTTTGGTACCTCTGTAAAGGTAAGATGTCATAGAATGGTTTTCTGGTGTCAGCACCATTGTAGCTTTGACCCTGCCTGAAATATTAGGGACAAAATACAAAATATTTTGCATTTTTTGAACCTCGCCAAAATTTTCTTTGAAATAAACATTGAAAAACACTACCAAAATATTATTTATAGCACAAAAAAGTAGTACAGACTTTCAAATCTAAATGTTGTGTAAAAATATACCAAATTTGGACTCAATCAGATGAATCATATTTATTTTAGAATGGTATTAGTGAGAAATTTCTTAGGCGGAGAGGCCATTTTGGCACATTTATCCAAAAATGTCACCAAACTGTGCCAAATGTGTTTTTTACATCAATACTGGGGGTTTGTTAAAATTACGAGGTCACGTAGCAGCTGGACCCACCGGTGGGTCCGTAGGTTCTAGGGGTTAAAGAGTAAAAAAAAAATCCTTTTGCAGGATTCAGAGATTGATCTAATTTATCCAAACTGCTATGATCAAATGAATCACACATTTTTAAACTGAAGGAGGGAAACAATTTAAAACGAAAATCAAATTCATAAAGAACCAATCAGAATCAACTTCACCCTTAAATTAGATTGCTTAAGATAGTTTAAAACGCAGCGCTGGCCAGAGCTTAACTGGCTCAGACTAAAACCATCTAATCCTATTTGCTCTACATGGCATGTGAGAAAGTAAAAGTGCATCCAGTGCGCTCTGAGTGCGCTTTTCTGGGCGCAACCTGCGCGTTTGGCGCACCTGTGCGCGCACGGCGGCGGTCATTACGGCCTCACATAAAAACCTGCAGCGTTTTGGATTTATTCAGCATTAAATAGAAAAAGAGAGGTGCAATTTACAATACTTTTATAAAAAGTTTCAGCATAATTAAGTACAACATTACACTTTTTTTTTTTTGCAGAAGTTTCAAATTTCTGCAACTGTACAAGATTAGACAGAGAGAGAGAGAGTTCACAAGGTCTCATTCTTCCACTTTTTTTATGCTTTAGACATCGTCCAGTCCTTCATGTGCCAACATTTCTGACAAGACAAGACTAAACTTTTTTTGTTTTGTTTTTACAGTAACTAACCCAAGTCTGTTCTGTACACGTTTCCACCTCCGCAAAAAAAGCGAAGAGTTCAAACGGGGGGGAGAGACGGGAGGGGAGGGGGGAGGTTAGGGTAGAGGGAGGGGAAATAATCCCATATAACTCGCCTTCCATTTCCAGAAAGGACCCACAAATAAGAAGTCTTAAATTAAATAATAATAATTATAATAATAATAATAATAATGAGGTGTCCAAACAGAAAAACACATCACATCAGATTGTCCCATAATAAGCAAAAGTCTGTTGATTTCAGAAAAAAAAAAAAAAAAAAATCCAGGCCTGGAGGAAGAGGAGGAGTAGAGGGGGTGTGGGGGGGGAAGTCCTGCTCCTCAGGTCCTGTGTGTGTTTTCTGCGTCTTGACCAAACACCTGCAAAAGATTGAGAAAGAGAGGCGTGTTTAGAAAATGCAAACAGGGCAGAGATCCGGACAGACTGGCGCCAGGGAGGAAGCCGCAGTTTTTAACATTTAACCAAACACTCCCAATACTGAGCAAACCCTGCGCTCCAGATGCGCACGCGCACACACACACACACACACAGATGGGAAGAGGAGGGGAGCGCCGTGCACGCGCGCTCTCTCCGCACAACTTCAGCCTCCAATCTGGGGAAGAATCAGCGTAATTGCCGCTCAGCTGGCGCCTTCCCACTTCTTGTACCAATTATGTGCAGACATCGTAGTAGCAGTAATCCAAACAGCCATTATTTTCCTGTTGCAGATGCTCTTCATTACAGACACAAGAGGCTATAATACAACCCTGACGGCTGCTGCTTGGAGCCAAGAGCCTCCAGCTTATTTCTACTAAAAAAAATGTAACCAAAATAAAACGCAAAGTGCGTCTTTTTTTCAGACACAATAAGGCTGGAGTCTGAAGTCTGCTGCGCGCAAACAGAACCTTCTCTGCTGGAGCAACATATTGGGAGCATTGGATCAGGGAGCGGACTGGTGCTTCAGCAGACTGGGAGACAGGCTGTACTGGAGCCTGGGAGCCCTGGACAGAATGCAGCAGACAGGAGGAGGAAGAGGAGGAGGAGGAGGAGGACAGCCTACTTACCGCGTTAACGATGCAGAGTCCGGCTGTCATCTGTCAGCAGCTCTGACGGAAACTCCGGAGACTGAAAACAAACAAACACAAACCAAATGTTAGGGCTTCTTTTTGTTTGTTTATGTTTTTTGGATTTGGATCGAAGTGTCTGGCGTCAAATGTAGGTCGCTTTTCTTCCTCATGTTGAACAAAAGGAGGAAAAAAAAAAAAAAA